GTCTCGTCGGGCAAGTGGCCTTGGGGGCAGCTGCCCCGTCCGTGGAGGAAAAGGAGGAGGAGGAGGAGGAGGAGGAGGGTGGGAGGAGGAAGGGGAGGAAGACGAGGACGAGGAGGAGGAGGGACCAGTGCAAGCCCAAGAGTCATCAGCGTTGTTGGAGTCAACTCTGTCTCCAAGCTCCCTCTTCACGGGTCCCTGCAAGGGTTCATTTCCACTTAGGAAGGCGCCCCGTTGGGAGATAACTGTGTGAGAATCCTGGAGCGCGCCAAAGCACCTTAGAATCGAGGAGGAGGAGGAGGAGGAAGAGGAGGAGGGAGGGACTCAGAGGAGAAGCATCTACCGATACCGCCACCCCTGCCTCGTCGCCACGACTGCATTCGACGATACAGTTCTTGTCAGAATGCGCCCCAGAGGATGTCTGGGGTGTAGCGGTATTGGTACCTTCTTGTCCCCCCCCTGGGGGAGGAAGAGGTCGAGCAGGAGGGAGCGAGGGTGGATGATGAGGAGGAGGAACAGGGCAGGGTGCTGAGGGTGCTGATGATGCGGCCAGATCCAGCTGGCCCTGTTGCCGAGGCGGTCGCCCCCACTGAGGGAGCCGAGAGCTGAGCCGATGCCCAGCCAGGATTTCGAGGGGCGCCCTGCGTGACGACGAGAGAACGCCAGGGCCCGAGAACCAAAACCAAACGAGGCGGATCCAGCCGCGGAGACGCCAACCAGCCGAACGACCGCCTAACTGCGCCACCGCCGCCCGCGGCGAGGCGTGCAGCTGCTCAGATCACTATCACATCGCGAGGAGGCCTGAAGCGCCTACAGGAGGCGGCTCTTCCGGTAGGTGTCGGCGACCTCCTATGCCTCGAGGTAGTTGCAGAATACCTGGAATAATGCCTCGAAGTCGTTCTTGATGCCGAGGCGCTCGCAAAGCGTCTGGAAGCGAACCCTGAGCTCGCTCCCGTCGCGCTCGACGCCCTCGAGGTACAGGTCGGCCAGCGCCTGGAACTCCTCGTCCGTGGTGGGGCAGACCTCATCCTCCTCCACCTGGGCAGAGCTGGCCCCCATGGGCTGAGGTAGGGGCGCACTGGTCTCCCTACCATCGTCGTCCTCCTTCTGGCTGTCCTCGTACTGCTTGACCTCATTCTGCTTGTCCTCTTGCTGCTTGTCGTCTGGCTGCTCGCCGGCCAGCTGCAGGGCCTGCACGTCTACCCTCCCGAAGCCTAGCAACTCTTCTATGCCAGAGACCCCCAAGTCTGAGCAGGCCACGGAGCATTCCTCGCCCTTCTCGGCCCACTCCTCGTCGTCGCCGTCGGCGATGTCGAACACCTCTGGCATCGCGAGCTGCGGGAAGCTCGGGATCGACGGCAAGCCCATGCCACTATCGCTATCGCTCGGCTTGGCACCACCTTCCCCAGGATTCGGCCTGAGGTCCTTCTGCCCCACGTCCGTGATAAACTGCACAGCATGCGATTGACGAACGTATACTCCACCTTCCCCGCCATCTGCGTGCACAGCTGCGCTACCATCATCCTCTTCTGACTGCCAGTCTTCGCCTAGTCCAGCTGCCACGCGACGCCATGCCGCGAACGTCCTGTCCAGGCTCTGGTAGTCCTCGGTGTCGGCCTGCACGTTCAGGCTGATGGGGTGTGGTGCTTGCTCCAGCGGTTCTTCTTCTTGGGCGGTTGCTTCTCCTCCTCCGTCTCCTCCTGCACGGGGCTCTCCTTCTCCGTCATCTCCTTCGGGTGGCACTCCGCCGAGGAGAGCACGAGATCGATCCCCCACTCCGACCATGCGTATGCCGCTGCTTCCTTTTGCAACCTGTCGAACTCCTCGTCCATGCACACTAGCCAGCGAGAGCGAAGCGCCGCGTCCAGCTCCCCCAGGGTCATGTAGGACGTGTCCGAGTGGACCTTCACCTCCTGCAGCTTCTGGAGCCTCTGCAGCTGCAGCGTGGTCTCGGGCGCCTTGTGGTTGCAATCCTTGTACATGCAACTCTCCCTGAAGCCGAAGTTCTTCGCTCCACAGCTTGGGCACTGCCATATCTTGATGTGCACCGCCTCCCCAGAGATCTCCTTCTTCTCCTCCTGGTGCTTGCCAGCCAGCTTGTTGGCCATGAAGCGCTCCCTGGCCAGGAACACCTGCAGTCTCTTCGCCTCGTAGGCCTTCACGTCCTCCGGCTGAAAAGCCCTTTGCCAGGGCACCCGACGGGCCCTCGGTGCCGGAGGCCTGGCCTTCGCTGGCGCCAGCGGCATGGTTTTCGCTGGCGAGGCCGTCGTCTCCTCGCGACGCGTCTGCTGGGCACGATTGCGACACCCCGCGAACTCCATCGCAGTCGAAGACCACGACGAGCTCTGACTGGCCTCCCGCCTCCACGTACTGCTGCTCGAGACAGCCGAGGATCTGGCCAATGCCGTCCTCGACGAAGAGTGAGCTCGCCACGTGGAGCCTCATGCCTCGATGGCCGCCATGGCCCCGCGCGGCAGGCGCCCCTCCGAAGTGCGCCGCGCGACCCCAGCTCCAAGCTGAGCGAAAGGGCTGGAGGAACAGGGCAGAGGAGGAGGAGGAGGAGGAGGAGGAGGAGGAGGAGGGAGGAGGATGCAGCTACTCCGTGGAGGTGGAGCAGGGGAGAGACTTGGGGCAAGATGCGGGAGGGTGGGCGGGATGCTTGTTCGAGAATTGGGGTCGACGGTCTCAAGATTGACAAGTGAAATGCACCGCACGTATTCCGCAGCATTGTTTTGTTCGCTGAACGGAAGTCAGAAGGTATCCTTCCGCCGAGGCCAGGGTCACCAGCACCCCCTGCGGGCACGTTTCTGTTTCACTTTTATTCGGCACCACAGTCCACCCCCAATGTCAAGGCATATCGCCTCAGATAACTCGGTTTCGCTCCCCCCCGCAATGCCTGGAAACAACTGCGGCGCACATGCGTTGGACGAAGACGATGCTTCCTCTAAGAACCCCGTGCAACACAAATACATTACGGGGCACATGCGTGCGCCGCCGCGCGCTCACGTAACAATCCTTCAATTGTGTTTGGCTCGTAACAGTGGCAAGGCATGGCTAGCCACAAAGTGACACAACCCATGTGAGTCTCAACAAAGCCACGGGCAGAATTCAACCCGCGCGCACTCGCTGGAATCTGTAGAACACCAGGAAGGTTGTGAGCCGTTCTGTCGAGCCAGACCGTGCGGGCCGCTTGCGCGCGCATGTCGAAACCATTCAACCACCATCGCGCGCCCACCAATCCCGTCAAATAAGACAATGCGGGCCACACGGGCACGCCTCCGTGCGCGCGCATCGAAGTCCGTCCAAAACCGTTGCTTGTTCAAAACAAGGTCAGCGCAGAGGTCTTCGAAAGCATACAAAATCCGACTTGTCTTGAATCAAACCATATCACGGTGTCTGGATTACTGCGGGCGAGCACATTCTCATCACCGTCATTATCGCCAGCGACATCATCGTCATCGTCATCGTCATCATCACTATCGTCGGGATCATCGTCATCGCCGTCATCGTTGAAACAATCGCCCTCGCCAACATTGTGTGGGCGGACACTTCCTCATCATCATCACCAGCACCGGCACCATCGTCATCATCGTCGCCCGCGTCATCGTTACCACCTTCATTCTCATCACCATCATCTGCATCCTTACCGTCGACGTCGGCATCGCATCGCCCCAATATCCACTGGAATAGGCATCGGCATCAGCGGCATCACCGCAGGCATCGCCAACGTCGTTGTCGTCGCTTTCATCACCATCGCCACCACAATTTTGCGACCTGGAGGACGGAATCGTCTGTGCGATTGAGTTCCCGGGCGCTCGTTGAGATCATGGCCATATCAGTTTTGCTAACAGGTTACGGGTGGGAGCGTGGGATGCTTGCACGAGCATGGGAGATCGTCACGCGCAGATGTTGTGCGGTGGGTGAATTCCGCGCTTTAGGTTGTACCTCGTGGATTGCGCCCCATACAGACCACCATAGACATTGCCCCACATGGATTCCATCATTGCGGGTGTAGCATATGCACTATATGGTACACTAACAAGCATGCGACACGAATTCCACCACAGGGCTTGCAGCACTTTGAAACATGTGCAGGTGCATATGCATGTACACATACATATGCATCTTCATTGGCATGTGCACATGCGCACACACATATCTATATATACATGTTTATGCATATGTATGTATTTGTGCGCTTATGGATGCATATGTATGCTGTATCTGGCGACCTGGTCCAGGACCCCAGACCAGGGACCCCGGTCCCGATGTCCTTGAGGTTTGGAGCCCTTCTGGAGCCCAGCGGGGCCATCTTGTAGGTCTGCGGAGTCGGCCGCAACGGTCAAACCCATTGAAACACATCAATGTTCGGAAACATAGGTTTGTCCCTTCAGTCGTTTCCGTCTCCACCGTGTCCAAGACGCCTCAAAGTACCTCCAAGATTACCCCGAGGACCTCGCTTGGGGTTCCTGGCGCCCGGGCGGGCTGCAGCATCGTCCCCCGTCGGTCCTGCACGCCCCCAGGCTGGCCTTCGGACACCAGAGTATCGATTTGTCAGTGTCGGGCCAGGTCCCGGGGATTTTTCCGGAGTATTCTTGGAGTTGTTTGGCGCCGTCCTGGAGGCTCAAAAGTCCTCCTTTTTTCTTCCCCCCCACACAGCCGTTCCCAGGCGCCCAAACTCCTTCCCACACGATTTGCATGATCCAAGAGTTCTCGATGAGGTGGCCTCAGCACCGCCGCATGCTCCCAGAAAACCTTGGGGCACCTCCCAGGGAGGACCCCAGAATAAAAGACAGGAGGCCTCCAAGAGGGCCCCTAGATATCCAGGAGGACCTGAAGAGGCCTGCATTTTCTGAGCAGCAGTGTTTTTGGTATGATGTAAGCATGCTTGTCTTTTCGGCCTGCAGCGTGTCCAAGACAGCACCCGAAGACGGTAAGACCGCTCAAAGTTGGCCCGACGATCCCCAAAAGGCCCATATGGGGGTTCCAAGATCCTTTTCAAA